AACCCCACTCCCTTCTAGCACTGATGATGTTCCCTAGTTGGGTCATGTAACATCTGCAAGAAAACCACCCAGCTCAGAGAGCACCAAGGAAGACACCGTTCCATCCTGCGCTACAAATATTCCTTTTTAATTGATTCTTACCTGGTGCTCTGCTTCCTTAAAGCGTTGCTCCACTCGTTTGTACAGCTGTTTGAAAGCCACCCGCATGAGAGAAGGGCAGCTCTCGGTTGAACCCACAATGGCATCCATGATCTCATCCAAATACCCCTTCAGCACTTCCAAACTGCCTTCTCGGATCTGGGCCTCAGACAGGGAGGCTTTGAAAGAGATCCACCTGAACAAAATACCCAAAAGAGGTGTTAAAAAAACAACAAAAAACAGGAATTTGCACTTTCAAAGGGAACAGCATCATCAAAGCAACTCAAGTCTACAGCACAGCTGGAATCCCAAAGGTGCTTTTTTCAAGAGGCAGCTGGACTTTCTGTCTTTTATTCTGAAGATGTTTTGTTTTGCTTCTTATCCAAGAAGCTTCTAAAGAGTGCTGAACTTTTAGGATGCGTGGACTTCAATTCCCAGAATTCCCCAGCTAGATATGAATTCTGGGAGTTGGAAGTCCATACATCTGAAAGTCAACAGATTTGAAGAACAAGGCACGAACATAAACCTTGTGGCTTATCGATCACCGAGACTGGTCCTGGCAAAGCCATTTCCAAATGTCCGTTTGGAAGACATTAAACTAAATGTTCGGAACAAATCCAGACAGTCAAATGCCTCTAAACTTTGGTTAGCTACTCGATGGGATAAACAAGATAACGGCCTCCAACAGCTGGCTTGGTGAAGATGAACATTTATTTAGCGCATGGCCTATCGTACATGGACTAGCCATAACATTTCACCTAGTTTAGTCAAACCCCAATGTAATGTAAATTCTCTTAGGTTCCCGTAGAAGGGATGGACCTGAGAACCTCAAGGATCCCTTCCACCGCTGGGATTCTAGGCTAGGATGCCTACTCAGCTCTTTCATGGGCAGGTGGACCTCGGAAATGGGTCCAGCTGCCCAGAGTATGACGGCTCCCCTCCCATGTCTTGAGCTACGTCATTCCCAGCTCGTGTGCTCTTTGACTGCGTCTGCAAGGCGCACCCTCTAGCGGGCACACTCCGCTTCCACGCTATCTTGATGCAGTGCTTGTGTCGTTCTTCCCCAGCAGCATCCCGGAGACAGGGTTGCCTAGCAACCTGAGTGAACAAGCATCCCAAGGACCGCGCTATCTTTGGAGTATTGGAAAAAAATCTCGCAGCGAGCTTGGGCAGCTTGTTCTCAAAGCCCTCAATCACGTTGGCACTCTTCTCAAAAAAACCCGAGGCTTGGTGCCATCAGCACTCACCTAAATCGAGTCCTCACACCCAACAAACAACCCCGCACGCTCGCAACACGAGTGACAGCCTTTCCGCATGCATGCATTGAACGGGAAGGTGACAGGAGAGCAGGTTTTTTTTCCTTGTGAAGACGAGCGAGCGTGCTATTTGATTTTCAGGGGCTTTAGTCTTTAAGAGCGGCGTATGCATTCTCTTGCTTGGATACCCTGGGGGTTTAATCCTCAAAGCACCATTTTGACCCACGGACCTCCCCTTATTTGGATCACAAAGGGTCCTGGGACTGACAGCCTCCCTCCCACTCCCTCAAACTATCACCTTCTGCGGAGAAGAGCAACCAAGATGATCAGGGGACTGGAGGCTAAAACCTACGATGAAGAACAGTTGCCTGGCTAGTCTAGGGAAGAGAAGGACCAGGGGAGACAGGATAGCAGTCTTCCAATATTTGAGGGGCTGCCACAGAGAGGAGGAAGGGGTCTCAAGCTATTTTCCAAAGCCCCCGAAGGCCAGACAAGGAATAATGGATGGGAACTGATCAAGGAGAGATTCAACCTGAAAATAAGGAAGAATTTTCTGACAGTGGGAACAATCAACTGATGGAACAGAAGTTGCCCTCGGAAGTTGTGGGAGCTTCATCTCTGGAGGCTTTCAAGAAGAGACGGGACTGCCATCTGTCAGGAATGGCGCAGGGGTCTTCAAACTTGACAGCTTTAAGACTTGGGGACTTCAACTCCCAGAATTCCTCTTCCAGTCGTGTGAGCTCAGGAATTCTGGGAGTTGAAGTCCACAAGTCTTAAACTTGCCAAGTTTGAAGACCCTTGGTGTAGGGTCTCCTGCTTGGGTGGGGGGTTGGACTGGATGACCTACAGGGTCCCTTCCAACTCTGTTATTCTTCCAAATTAAAGGACCAGTACGAACAAAGTTGCTTCCTGCAAAGATTCCTCTCCCTTTGCTCCTCCTTTATGTCTTATGGGAGGGTCAATCACCTCCAAGCCTTACTCCCGAGCCGCCCCTTTTGTCTTAAGTGTTCTTGCCTTCTGGCAGCTCTGCGCACACATGCACTGGGAACAGGCTCCCACTGTTCCTCTGCCAAGAACGATGTACAACCGAGTATCCCATCACAACCACCGAACAATCCCGAGATCCCTTCTTGCATGAAGAGATCCTGCCTTCATTCCTAGAGTTTTCTGCCCAATTCACATCCGAGGTGCGATTTATCTTACTCAGTAACATTCTGTCCCATTATTTTTAGACTCATAAATCATCTGCCAAGCAAACGTTGCCGCTTCTGTTTTAATTAGCCCAGTGGGGTGAGAAAAGCTGCTTGCGAAGGAGGCGTGGTCCTCTGACCCACTCTTTTAATCCTTTCTCGCTGCCCCTGACACCTCCCAGGAGGGGAAAAAAGGACATTTTTTACAAAGGTCTTCCAAATTCACGACTCTTGAGTTAGCCGTGAGCCAATTATTTTGAGTGATCCCAACCATAAGATAGCACAAGTGCAGTAGTTCTCGGTCTTTCAACTGCAATGGAGTCCAAAATTTCTGATGCTAAGGGAGATATTTGCGAGGACCCAGATTGTTGGGGGCATGATGACGACTCTGTAAACCACTTAGAGAGAGCATTGAAGTGGCAACATTGAACATTGAAGTGGCATATAAGTCTACATTGAAGTGGCATATAAAACATTGAAGTGGCATATAAGTCTAAGTGCTATTGCTTTTCTCTTCCTTCCTTCCTTCTTTCCTTCCTTTCTTCCTTCCCTCCCTCTCTCTCTCCCTCTCTCCTTCCTTCCTTCCTTCCTGTGCAGTAATTAGAAAACAGTATTGCAGGCTAACTCTGCCCACTGTCAGGAGTTCGATCAAGGTTGACTCAGCCTTCCCTCCTTCCGAGGTCGGTGAAATGAGGACCCAGATTGTTGGGGGCAAGAGGCTGACTCTGTAAACAGCTTAGAGAGGGGCTGGAAAGGCACTGTGAAGCGGTATATAAATCTAAGCGCTATTGGGACAATTAACATAAACATTATTGAATCAATTCAATAAATATGCATTTATTTCCTTACTTGGCCCGGCTAGGTTCAATCTTGCAGGGATCGAGTTCCACATACTTCTTCTCTTCGAAGATCCGATGTATGATAACTTTTAAAACTTTGTGGAGATAGGGCATTCCCACTATCTACAAAGGACCAGGAAATTGGGGAGGTGTGGAAGGCGAGATAAAACAGATTAGTTTAAAAAAAAAAAGTAAGAGTTGCTATTAAAGAAGGAATCTTACACTCCAAAATCTTCTTTGAGATGGTACTCCACTTATAACCCATTCATTTAATAACCATTCAAACACACAACGCTGTGCAAATTTATGACCTGCCCTCACATTTGCAACTCTCACAGCATTCCCACAGTCTTGGGTTCAAAACTCATGCCCGGCAACCGGCATGAATTTACAATGGTTGTAGTGTTCCAGGGTTGTGCGATCACTGTTTGTGAGCTTCTCACCTGCCCCACTACCTCCAGGGGATCCTACAGTCTTTCTGACAAATGGCTGTCCGATCTTTTCTTGAAAACCTCCAATGATGGAGCACCCACACAAGTTCTAGACGCCATCTAGAAGCCATCTCACTCATTAATTCTTTCTAAGGAAAATTCTCCCTAGTTCCAAATTAGATCTCTCTTTAACCTTCCACCTGTTAGTCCTTGTCCTGCCTTCGGGTGCTTTGGAAAATAACTTGACTCCCTCTTCTTTGTGGCAGCCCCTCAAGTATTGGAGGACTGCTATCCTATCACCCCCTAGTCTTTCTCTTTGACTAGAATAGAATAGCAGAGTCTTCTACTCCAACCCCCTGTTATCATTTCAGACAAATGGTTGTTCAATCTCTTCTTCTTCAAAACTTCCACTATTGGAGCATCCACAACTTCTGGACGTTAAGTTGTTCCACTGATGATCTGTTAGGAAATGTCCCCTTAGTTTGGGCAACCTAGAACTATGCTGCCTACGGTTGGACTAAAGCATAGTACATAAATTTGTCTGCTACCATGTCCTACCAGTCAATGACGACTTCAGCTTCAACTGCAACAATACAAGAGCATAGAATAGATACAAACTCAATGTAAACCACTCCCAACTTGATTGCAGGAAGTATGACTTCAGCAACAGAGTGGTCAATGCCTGGAATGCACCACCTGACTCTGTTACATCCTCTAACCCCCACTCCTTTAACTTCAAACTATCCACTATTGACCTCACCCCATTCCTAAGAGGTCTGTAAGGGGGCATGCATAAGCGCACAAATCGTGCCTACTGTCCCTGTCCTAATGTCCCCATTTATTCATACCTAGTTCCTGTATTCATACTCCTGTTTATTCTTATATCTA